AAAAGACAAAACAGCACCGATGGCATATAAAAATGACATGATCCGTTAGGCTGCTATTACATAGGGGTATACGGTATTCGGTATACGTTTAGAGGTATACGCGAATACATGTACTTGTGTTCGAACAACAGGATTTTGCTTAGCGGTTTACATCGGACTATACGCGTATAGGGGCACGCTATACGCGTATACATGGTATCGTGCATGTTTTGTTTTCGGCGTATACTTGCTTCAGGGAGGAGTAAATTCCATGGGATGAGTACAAAATGGGGCATCTGTGTTGTAAAAAGTTCGAATCAAACGTTCTAAACATTGATGGACATATCTCTAGGCATGGTAGACTATTCTAGATTATCATGAACAGTGATTTCCGCCCCCCCCCCACCTCAAGATTGAAATGAACCGACTCAAAGCCTGACCTTCATGCCACCATACTTTACGCCTCCGCAAGTAAAAACCAAGTCAAAGTTTCCTATTTTTCTGAATCCATTCGTTTGGATATGAATGAGCCTCGATGAGGGCACCAAAATCGGTTGGGAAAATAACTGACCAGGTCAGTAGACCTATACCTACGTATATAGTATATGCCGTGTTACGGTCCGTTCATACTACATCCGTTTCTGTAAATACGTGCGTGAATACGTACTGGTATACTTTAGTCATTTTTAGAGAAAGGGTTCAAATATAGAATCCGGCACGTATTGCGCACAAAAACAACAACGTCCGTTAAGCCGGATTGATTGCTCCCAGAGCGTATTTTTGTAAAGTGCGTCCGGCATTTCGGCTAGTGAGCCGAGCTTTAGCCAATCAGCGAGTACTTTCCCCTTATTACATCATCTCCCCAAATAGAAACCCAATCCATTCCAAGAAAAGCCTGGCCTTGTATGCTGTGGAGTTGTGTAGTCTTGTGAAGAACACAACATGGACAAGACAGAGGAAATAATCATCCTTGTGGAGAATAATCCCATACTCTATTTCTTCCTTCTTTGTAACAGTTCATGGACCCCTACTCTCTTTTTCTTTCTCTTTCGTCTTTGGGTCCAGAAATACAAAAGAAAGACTTCTCTGTGTCACTGTCAGACTCCATGATTGCAAATGACAATATGTATCTCTGACAGACAATTCAGCCTTGAAAGCCGGACGTTTTCGCGTTTTCTATTTGAACGGCAAAACGCGGATAGGGATGCGGGTGCGGATACGGATACGTTTATGGATACGGTTGTAGTATGAACCGAGCTTAAACCGCCGTGCCCGTATACCGAATATCGTACGTTTAGAGGTATACGCAAATACTTGTGTTCGGACAACAGGAATTTGTTTAGCGGTTTACATCGGACTATACGGGGCACGCTATACGCGTATACAAGGTATCGTGCATGTTCGTTTTTTTTCGGCGTAAACTTGCTTTAGGGAGGAGTAAATTCCATGGGATGAGTAGAAAATGGGCATTTGTGTTGTGTTCTGAACATTGATGGACATATCTCTATAGGCATGGTAGACTATTCTAGATTATAATGAACAGTGATTTCCAGTTACCCCCCCCCCCCCTCAATATTGGAATGAGCCGACTCAAAGCCCGACCTTCACGCCACCATACTTACGCCTCCGCATGTAAAAATCAAGTCAGAGTTTCCTCTTCTTCTGAATCCATTCTGTTTGGATATGAATGAGCCTCGATGAGGGTACCAAAATCGGTGGGAAACATAACTGACCAGGCCAGTATACCTACGTATAGTATATGCCGTGTAAACCGCCGTGCCCGTATGGCGTATACCGAATACCCTTATGTAATAGCAGCCCTAGGGGCGCCATTATGGGAGAAACAAATTCGCTTGCTAACCAGGAGATTCAGTGTTCGATCCCTGGATGTTTCTGGCGTGGATCCGCCATGTAGTCTGGAGGCTCAGTGCGGGGGGGGGGGGGGTCCATCAAATGGGCACAAAACCAGACCCAACTTTTCTAGAGTAAAGTTTTGCATAGAATACGATGCGGAGTGGTAATCAGTTCGCCGTTAGGGCGTTTTCGAGATATTCGGGGCAAAGGTCAAATGAGTTCATTTGCACCGAAAGTGAATGCGCAGTCATTCGTGTATTATGAAAAGAAGCTAAAAGTGTAAACTTGCTAAATTCACCTTTAGTCTTAGTGACCCTGGAGGTCAAAAGGTGAAATATACCGTTTTTGCACTAGGAAAATTTAAAGCAATAAAATGTCAATGTAAAATATAAAAACTAAAGCGAAACCCGTTCTAATTAATAATAGGAACATTTAAAATTTATCTTTAGGGGGTCTTAGCACCGAACTTTTATTTCGGAACGTCGAAAATGATCTTGCATAACAGAACCAACACACTTTGAAACCTCATTCGGAACATCTGAGACACGCTACCTGCGGAGAGGTATCTCAGACACAGTCAATACTCAATAGCCATGATATCCATATCACGTGATCCACACATCACAGGTCATAACATTGACGTCAATGGGTCATGAGGTCAACAACACGTTACATTGTAATTTTGTGCGTCGGTCGTGTCTATTTCAGATAAACACAATCAATTCTGTTGATGTTTTTAGCGTTGGGATTGACTAATAGTTAATTTATTTCAGTTCTAAAACAAATATTTTAAACTTTAACGCAAATTTAGAAAATAGCCAAATTCTGGCTGGGATTACTGAGAAAAATGGCCATTCACTGTATACGTGCGAAAAAAAAGCTAGCCACCAATTAATTTTCGTATGTTAGCTAGCCACCGATTAGTTTTCGTAAGTTAGTTACGTACGTTTGAAACCTGTTTCAAAAATACGTAAAAACTGTTAAATCGAAATCTCTCCGATTTATTTTCATAACGATTGTTAAACATAATGATACTAGTTATCTGAAAAAAATTGAATAGTTTCAGTGTTGGACTCCAGTCTGCAGGCCGAGTGGATTTCCGAGAACCCCAGTCTAGGAAAACCGACGTTAATCTGTGACGGGAGAACGCGTATCTGACGACGAGATTAAAAGTTTGCAAATTTTTTATGAGTTTTTTTTTTATGAATTTCGCCGGAACATGGACGCAGATAAAACCGACGGATGCATTATACATAGCAGTTCACAGGATATATAATGTCGTATTGGTAAATGTTATCGGGGAAAATTTTGGCAGGCTTTGTGACGCGGCCTGCAGGCTGGAGTCCAGTTGTTTTTTTGTCAGACAACTAATATCATTATGTATAGCACTCGTTGTATAACTAATTCGGAGAGATTTTGATTTAACAGTTTTTACGTATTTTTGAAACAGGTTCCGAGGCGTTTTGGTTCTGTTATGCAAGATCATTTTCGACGTTCTAAAGTAAAAGTTCGGTGCCAAGACCACCGAAAGATACATTTTAAATGTTCCTATTATTAATTAGAACAGGTTTCGCTTTAGTTTTTATATTTTACGCTGACATTTATAACTTTAATCTTCCTAGTGCTAAAACGGAAAATGTGACCTTTTGACCTCTGGGGTTACAAAGAACAAAGGTGAAATTAGCAAGTTTATATTTTTTTGGAAGTGTGATTACTTTCGATCATTTTCAACAATGACTGCGTATTCACTTTCAGTGTAAATGAATCCATTTGACCCCGAATATCTAGAAAACGCCTCAACGGCGGAATGATTACGACTCGGCATCGTATTCTACGCAAAATTTTACTCTAGAAAAGTTGGGTCTGGTTTTGTGCCCATTTGATGGACACCCCCCCGCACTGAGCCTCCAGACTACATGGCGGACCCGCTACATGGCGGAACCACGCCAGAAACATCCAGGGATCGAACACTGAATCTCCAGGTTGTTGTTGTTCTTAGTCTTTAACGTCCGATTCCACCGAAGGTGATATCGCAGAAAGTTGTTTTTTTCATTAACTTAGCGCACGCGCATGGGTCTTTCCTGTGGCAGGAAACCGGAGTACCCGGAGTAAACCCACGAGGTTGAGAAGGCACCCCTATCTCCAAGCCAGGGATCGAAACCACAGCCGCAAGCCAGAGGTGACCGGCCAGCTAGAGGTTGAAGCGTGACACTCTAGACCTGGTCCCAACCCCCCTAATCTCCAGGTTAGCGAGCGAACTTCTTATACTCTCTAAGACACCTTTTCTTCCCTAATGGCGCCCCTAACGGATCATGTAGACTCATAGGGGTTTATATACACCTCCATGTGTAGGCTACTTTGGACCAACTTAACCGGAGCGGGGCTCTGGGCCTGACTAGAATCGCGGGGCCCCTAACGCGACGAAAAGATTATATCACATCTTTTTGAATGGCACGCTTGCGTAACACACAATTAAACGCGGAAATGACATAGGCGTACGGGCATTTTACAAACCCAGGTTACGAATCATATCAGTTCTCCACAACATTATGGACTAAGTAAACGGGACGAACGGCACGGTTTGCGCCATGAGGCTAATGAGTTTTTGCGGTTTTTCAGGAGTTTTTGACAACAACTTTTATGTTCAGATTCTGATCATCGGTATCAAACAAATAGGCTATAGTGGCTCAGATCTACAAATCGACTCTAGAATGTTCCTCACACCCCAAACAGCCTAAATACTGGGCTTTAACCATCAAATAATCAAATGACATAAGACATTCAGCATTTGTAGAAATTAATTCTTCAATGCGTATACAAATTCTTATTCGTTTTTAAAATGTAGATCCTATTTAGGCATCAGTCGACTCAACCCAGAACTGATCTTAAAAGCGCGGAACGACCACGTGCGTTGTTGTATACTTTCACTGGACGTGTTTTGGGCAAATCATACCGTAAATAACTGAATTTCAAGACTTACCAGTTATTCCGTAGTACATTTGATATCATTTTTGATACAATACATGTGATAAGATACTAGTGAGTTATGTTGGTTGGAGATAATTTGCAAAAAGAAAATAATGATACCAGTCTAAGATTTGGACGTCCCAGGGCATGAAATGTCAAGGTCGTTATGGAATGTTAGGCGTTTACTTATTTTTGATTTTATATGATGGTCACTTATGTCAATACGAACCGACTATTGTGTGATAAAAATTGCCTAGGTAAAGTAGCCCACAAGCAAATGATGGCATGTATTACATGTTTGGGTTAACATTTAGTTAAAGTATTTTGCAGGGAATCCTAGTAGTAGTAAAGATACTGGATTATGGATAATGATGGTGGATTCGATTCCAAAAATCCATGCTGTGTGGAGTGTGTGTTTTTCTCATATTTGAGAGTTAGGGAAAACCTAGTTATAGAAAATGTTTCAGCTATGTGTTACAGTATTAATTTGCGGCAGTAGGTCTACTAATTATAAGGTGTTTTTACGAGAAAACAAATCGGTTTCGATTACCTATCTCGTTTTGTACAAAGAGATATAGGTCTCGAGTTGGTATTCGAATCGGTTCTCGTAAACGCAATGAGTTGCCTCGCAAGATGGCTGAAGACTGAAAAATTGAGGAAAAATGTTAAAAAAATTCACTTTTCTTTATTATGTTCTTGGCGACACCGCCCAAAAATAAAAACGAAAAGTTGTACCAGTTGACTGTCCACAAATGCCTCGTATTTTTATTAGGAATGTCCATAATATTCATATTTTAATGTGAAATTCAAAAGAAAATGATCTAACGTCGGGCACGTCGTGTCCCTTGTTGGGGACGCCATCTTGGAAATCGAATCGTCAATCCGGCAGGCGAGCAAGTTGGAAGATTTGCATAATCGATTTGGCAAATCGTCGGGGTAAATACGACAATTAGGTGAAACCGATTAGGCTAATTTTTGCCTTAAATGTGTTTGGAAAGGAAATGCAAATCGATTAGCCCTAATCAGTTTCTCGTAAAAACGCCTATACTCTTTATAATATGCCTGCCTTCCATAACGTAGGCCGACTGGAATGGAAAGCAACTTTTATAAAATAAAAATAATTCAATATACGGTAATATTGATATAATTGTCTTAGATCTAATACTAGTAATAATAGGGATATTTTTTTTCTAGATCTGTAGAATGTAAACAGTTTTAAAACATTCAAGGGTACGTGCAGTGGAGCCAAATTTTATTTAAATATTTATGTGATGTGATTTGAAAAGAAATGTGGTAGCATGGAATATTGTCGGGGTGGTCTGCGAAGGTTGTGGAAGGGAATTGGACAATTTTTTGGTGTTGATGATAATAACGATGAATACCTTTCATCTTGGAGAGAAGCTTTTCAGGAACGAGTAAAGGTATTAAATCTATTGCAGGTTCTAGATTTTAGTTATGTTTGTAGTTATGTTTTAATACAAAATGTAAAAGCACCACCCAGAAGTAGAGAAGTGCTCTATGGGGGTGGGGGGGGGACTTTCTTATGGAAGTCACAAGTTACGCTATAACCCATGTTGTTTGACATTTTGTTTACCATGCAAATTCCTTGAGTGACAAGTGACATCAGGTTTTCTAGGAATAGTCTAATTGGAGCAAGTGTTATTATTTTTTTTAATTTAAACTTTATTAAAAGAAAAAAAACATAGTTCAAATTTTCATTTTAATGTGCAGATTCACAGTAGGTAACAAATTTATATTATAATATATTTATATAACAGTAAGCAGCAAATTTATATTAAATCTAAAAAATTAATCATAACAAAAGATTAAAATGAGTGGTGTATAAATAAAAATCTTTATCATACATTGCTGTTAATTTCATAAGGATACTATTTCACTTGATTTTTATTAAGCTGATTTAGGAAAAAAAAAAACAACAAAAGTTCCCTTTATTATAGCAAGCTATAATAATATTATTTATTTCTTTTTGTAAAAACCAGTGGGGAAAAACTTTTGAATTGAATTTCTTTAACAGAAATGAAATGAAATGAAATGGAGTTTAACGTCCTACTGTTCTGCTCCTAACCTGGGCTAATGAAGACGGGCATACGCCATACAGTGTGCTATGAGGGAAATTTTGCCCAGACAGCGGCACTACGGCCTACTCTTATATCGAATTCCAACTGCCAAGGGATCTTTTACGTGCACGCCAATGTGTACACGGGACCTCGGTTTTTCGTCCCATCCGAACGACTAGACAGCTTTCCTTGTCAGCCCCTCCGTCCTGCATTCTTTAACAGAGCATTTCTCTCAATTTGAATACATTTTAAAATGTTTATTGTAGAATGGTGATGTCGGACTTTCCTTTATGCATGCAGTTTCTAGTACAAATTTTCAAAACCAAAGAGAGAAAGTAGTTAGTCAATTAGAAAAATCTATGTCACAGATCGTTATGGATACAGATAATGTTGGAATGTCAGACCATTTGCTGAGTCAATCATCACACTTCCTTATCAGTCCAGATCATATTGATAAAGTTCAAAGTGAACTCTTTGAAAGGAGCCTAACCGAAATTTCAGAAGCTCAAGATCCTGTGCAAAGTGACCACCATAGCAATGACCATGATCCCCAGTATCTAGACCTTGAGCCTGAGTTATCTAGCAATGATTCCCAAGAAAGCACTGAAAGAATTGCAACAAGTGAAAATGTGAAACCTTGCCAATCGGTTCAAAGTTTAGATGTTGGATCATTCAAAAGTGTTATGTCTACATTCAGCCAAGCGAATTCGAGCGCAAAAGAGTCAAAGAGTAGTAACAGCGAACATTTTTATAATGCACATGAAAATTTCAACCAGTCTGCACTGGAAAACGAAAAAAAATCATCAGTTAACACAAATGCGAAGAAAATAAATTTGAATAATCACAAGTCCCCAAATTCTCAAAATATTAAAAAAGATCTATCAAATTTAGACATTTTTAAAAACAATACATCTAAATCAACAAGGTTTTCGAATCGCGTAAAAGAAATAAATCACAGTAGAAATGCTGTTTTTCCAATAAATACTAGATCAGAAGTTAAGGACTATGAAAATAAAAACAACAATGTGAAAACAGATGATGAAGTGTCCACAAATCAATCTGAAAATAAAACTGATGCCATTGAAGGGAAAAGTGATATTAAGGAACCATCACACCAGTCTGAAAGTGTAAATAGCAATCCTGACAGTAACCAAGATACAGGATTCACTAAAGAAGATAATACCATACCTCATACAGAAACAAGGGTTGGAGCAAACGGCCCTATCTTATTAAAAACAGGATTGTCTGTGTGTAACAAAAGCCAGAATCTAAAAGCTAAAAATTCTGTCCAATTCCAATCAGCCAGTGCAGTAGATCTAGGAGCTAATCAAATCAAAAGAAGTGTAGCATCTAAAACTAGTTCCTTTAGCAGGTTAAAGGGCCATCCTTCAACATTTTCAAGTTTTTCTAAGGTACAAACTTTCTTTATTGTTCAAAGATAAAAAAATTCTGTAGCTGCATTAAAGGAGCTAAATCGCTAATATTTGGGACCTAGAAATTCACACAAATTGGTTGCAATGCATATAATATTGTAATGTGACTGTATATAAACTGATTTACATTTATTTTTTTACTGTTTTTACAATATGTTCGGCGAAATACGCCACAACACAAGCTCTAGCGTCTGGTTATTCCAGTCTACACCAATAGTATTTATTGAGCATGCTCTATATAAGAATATGGCGTCACCGTTTGACATAGGTTAGATCTATTTGATAAGGTCAACTTCAAGTTTAGTTAAAGGTCACGAGATGTAAACAGGGCTAATGCTAATCCCAACCCTAACCCTTGACCTAGCCCCAATGCTTACTCTAACCTACAATATCGCCAACCCAAACCCTAATCCTAAGAAAATCGAGCTGGCCTTAACAAATAGATTTAGCCTTTTACATGACCTGTAGAATATGTCTAGCCTCGTTGTTCAAGTCACTTTTTACAAATGGCACTGAAACGCATTATGGTACACGGTAAATATTGGATATCAGAAGATCGCAACATCATTGTTGATTTAAATTGACAAATATTTCGTGTTTTCAATGTTCGAAGAGTTTGGATGATATTGAGTTAGAGACTTATCTACTTTAACGTATGTGGATTTGGCAGTTCTGGAGAGGGTTGACTCCCATATTGAGTGAGGGAGATGGGTTTCAAATCTTCAATGTCCCCAAACAAGGTTAGCATGGCTGCATACACCACTGTCTTCCTAGTAAAACAGAATTTTAAAAGTGAGTTTATATTTATACAGGATGGTGGCTTAGTAGAAGAAGAAAATGTTCGTTTGACAGGAACAGAAGCATTAAAATATTATAAACAGTTTACATCAGTAAGTATAATGTACAGCGAAAACAGGATTTGACATGGGCCTTTATTAAAATTGGTTTTTGCCTTTCGGGGTCACATTCTATTGTACAGGTAGTGTTATTTAATCTTTTTTTGGAACACCTATAAACTCCATCATTTCAAAGTCTCTGTAATTTGGAGTGTTTACTGATACCAGAGAGATCTATTCTAGGAAGCTGATATCATTACTGGGGGCACAAAACCTCATATTGCCAAACTAGATATCAAAGAAACTTCCCACTAATCAAATGTACCATGCCCGATATTGCACAACAGGCTTTGTTCTCCTAAATACTCTTTAACAGTAAATACCATGGCATGACGTGAGCTATCCTAAATGAAATAGAGTTTAAAGTGAGAAAATAGTTGCGTCACATTTTTGTAAAACATCTGATGTAATATTATCATAATACATTCATGGCAAGGTTTTGGAACTTTTTGAAAAAAAAAATAATCATGTGAAAATGTTATAACATTTATTCTCTCTTGTTCGAGTTTTAAGAGTTCATCCAGATTTTCCGGCGTGGTTCTCCCTTGTCAGTGATGCAGGACGGAGGGACTGACAAGGAAAGCTGTCTAGTCGTTCGGATGGGACGAAAAACCGAGGTCCCGTGTACACATTGGCGTGCACGTAAAAGATCCCTTGGCAGTTGGAATTCGATATAAGAGTAGGCCGTAGTGCCGCTGTCCGGGCAAAATTTCCCTCATAGCACACTGTATGGCGTATGCCCGTCTTCATTAGCCCAGGTTAGGAGCATAACAGTAGGACGTTAAACTCCTTTCATTTCATTTCATTTCATTTCGAGTTTTAAGCATTATAAATTGTCTAAATTCTTCACCATTTACTTCTTCTTTAAAGTATTTTTTTGATATTAGAATATTTAATTTTCATTTTAAATGTTTACAAATTAGCTTTGTTTCTTCTTTAGCTTGAAAAAGAACTAAAAATTCAAGAGTTAAAGGATATGAAGGACTGGGTGATAGAAAATTACAAATGGCGAATAGATATTGTTAATCAGCTTTCTGCTACAGCAAAAGGTTACAGCCTTATAGATATCCATGACAGGAAACAGCATGTCCTGTGTAGATGTTGGTGTGCACGTTAAAGAACCCATGATAAATGGAATGGAGTGAAGAATATGCGGAAACGCTGCTGTCTGGACACTGCATAGTGCATGGCTGCCTGTTTTCATTAGCCCAGTTGCTACAAAAGAGTAGACGTTAAACCCCATTTCATATCATATTATAGACACCCTATATACTTCTGCTTTCAGAATTGCCAACACTATGGGCAGTCGAAATGTACCTATGTACGGGCATATAAACAACCCCTGTCTGTTGCCATTCAATTTCATCCCACCCTAAGCTACAAGTCAGTCCACTTTCACCATAAATTGTTAGTATTGCAGTCCGTGCCCATTGTTTTAAGGGAATCTAGCAAATAATTCATTTTAAGAGACCCAAGCATTTGGATAATGATCCGCTACCCTTAATAAAAATACTGCTGAAAAACAGTTAACGAATACCAGTAATGGGCCGATCTACTAGGTGATGGAAGCCAAGGCCCATTTTAAAACCCAGTACATGCATTAAGTAGACATTACAGAGTATGCAGTGACAGTAAACAGAGTCTGTCACTAGGTAACTATGGATACAATGTTATAGATTCCCATTGACAGGGTCAGGTACAAAACTCGGAAAGCTCGGAAAATATTTTCCGACTTTTCCCCTCTCTGAGTTTTATGAATTGACTCGATTGAAAACACAAAACTCGGAAAACTCGGAAAAAATTGTCCGACTTTTTGTTTCAAACTGAAAATATTTTCAGAGTTTTCTATTCAAACAAAAAAGTCGGACAATTTTTTCCGACCTTTCTGAGTTTTGTGTTTTCAATCGAGTCAAATCATAAAACTCGGAAAGAGAAAAAGTTGGAAAATTATCAAAAATATTATTTTTTTTAAATTGGCGAAAGTAGTTGTAGTAATACATAAGTTGGACATAATCTGTAACTTTTCAGTTATATTTTAACCAAAATAATGCAATATGGCAGTTATAATCGAATATCCGAGTTTTCCATTTTGGCCTATACGAAAACACAAAACTCGGAAAACTCGGAAAGTGGTCAAAATGTATCAAAATAAAATATTTTTCATTGGATATGGTGTGTAAGGGTTGTAATATGTACAAAGGAACTCAACTCGCCTTTACGGGGATAACTTGGGTGAGATCGAAAACTCGGACATCCAAAAGATGAAATGATTAAAACGAGGTGTGTATATAATTTCAATTTGACACATGGCCCCGAGGCCGAACCTGCCCCGTTCTCCCATACTATATACGTCGTGTCGAGAATAGGCCTACCTAACAGTAACACATCTATTTAATAAGTTGGACATGATCTGTAACCTTTTCAGTTGGATTTTAACCAAAATACTGCAATATGGCAGTTATAATTAAATATCCAAGTTTTCCGACTTTTGTATTTTGTATCTTTTGCTATTTTTTAAAAGTTAGCCTTCGTTGAATGTCTGTCTTTAAGTAAAATATAAATGATTCCACTAAATATCAAGTTATCCCCATAAGGAGAAATGACAAATATTTTATTTTGTTATCTTTTAGGCACTTTCCGGGTCTTTTCGTATAGGCTAAAATACAAAACTTGGAAAACTCAGGTATTCACCTATAACTAACACATTGCATTCGTTTGGTTAAATTTGAAAGAATTAGTTACATAGATCATGTCTAACTTATCAAATAGACATCTTAGTACAACTCCTTTCGCCAATTTAAAAAAATATATATTTTGATAGTTTTCCAACTTTTCCCCTTTCCGAGTTTTATTATTTGACTCGATTGAAAACACAAAACTAGGAAAGCTCGGAAAAAAATTGTCCGACTTTTTATGTTTGACTTTGAATAGAAAACTCGGAAAATATTGTCCGACTTTTCAGTTTGAAACAAAAAGTCGGACAATTTTTTCCGAGTTTTGTGTTTTCAATCGAGTCAATTCATAAAACTCGGAGAGGGGAAAAGTCGGAAAATATTTCAGAGCTTTCCGAGTTTAGTACCTGACCCATTGACAGATCCTGCTTACTGCCACTGCATACTCTGTAATGTCATATATATTAAACTATTGAATGTTTTTTTAAACACCCACTTTTTATAGTTGACCAACTACTGATATTCAATAAAATATAAAAGAAATTTGTTACACATTTTATCCGGAACGATGAAGTTGCTAGTGACCAATGATCTATTTTCAGCATACTATAGCAATCCTCAAGGGGAGGTAAGAAAGATATGGAAGGATCTACAACGTGATATAAAACAGAAGAGTTTGCATAGCTTAACAGATACCAGATTTAAACAGGCTGAATTAAAACAATTCATACCATATTTTACATATCTTATTGTTTTTGTAAGTCAGATAAGTATTACAATATACAACAATGATAAATTTAGAGACACAATAAATTTTAAACACTCTTATGTTCAAAAAACCAAAGAAAAAAAGGGATAGGCATTGATTAATCAATCAGCGTTGACGTTTCTAGGGGGTTTACCAACAGTTCTGTGCATCGCATGCCAAGAAGTCGCTGTAACAGATGATTTCATTGGCTAATCCCTCATGCCATCCAGAATGCAGGTTATATAACAACTCTTCCAGATCCTAGTGTAGTACAGACAAATAAAACTAAATTTTGAACTATAAAAAACGAAACGAAATAGGATCAGTGTTTTAATCAGATTGTTCTTGGAAAGAGTAAGCATACCCTTTCCCATGAATGACACATATTAATGGTTTTGACATGGATTTCAGAGCCAGAGCCAGAGCTGTTTACAGCAGATAACTGATTCTCTGACCAAGTTAATTAAATACAACCAAATTTGTTAGCTATATTGAACTATTTCTGTTATTTCTATCTGAAATAATTTACCAGGGAAGGTATTTATGAAGCTATAAAGTTATTCCTATCTGGTTACCTATTTACCTCACCATTCCCCATATGAGTACTCTGACCCAATATCAAACATATGCAAGTGAATATTGAGATCATTTTGATCTTTGAATGTTGAATACATGTGTTGGTAAAAATGAAATTATCTTTTGAAGTTTTGATGTTTTTTCTATAGGTTCACATCATGACATTTTGTGTAATAACATCAATTGGCGGGGTGACGTCTATAGGGTTAGAACAAAGTCTTTATTTACAAGAAAATACTAAAACTTTTATTGGTACGGAAACAATACATCATTGGGCAACACCTAATATATGGATTGGGCCAGACATGGAATATATGATTAGTAAGTATTTTATTTATCTTTTCTGCGCCGCTGAGCAATGGAAGACTGGCATTTGTCATGCAGTGTATTATGATGAAAATTTTGTCCCAACAGTGGCTCTGTATAGTCTACTCTTTATTTGATTTCCATGTGTTAGGCCCTTGTCAGTGGTGCAGAAGGGAGGGCCGGACAAGGACAGCTGTCTAGTCATTTGGATGAGACAAAAAAAACAAGGTCCCAGGTGTACATTGGCATGCATGTAAAAGATCCCTTGGCAGTTGGAATTTGATGTAAGAGGCCATAGTGACACTGCTCGGGTAAAATTTCTCTCGTAGCACATTGAATGACGTATGCCTGTCTATACACGAGACCTTTGTTTTTCGTGCCATATGAATGAGGAATTTTCTCACTGAGATAGAAGCCAGACTTGAATATCAGAATGTCATGAGGAACTTCATTATTAGCAGTGACAAGTGAAAGATAAACGTAAGAACAGGCATATAAACGACTATATTTTGGGTTTGTTATGGGAGACAAGATTTCAAGATTAAATTTAGTATCACCAAATCCAAAATATGAATGCATTTTCCCATTCTTACATTTCCATTATATGCTACCCCATAAGCTTTGCTAGTCCATGAAGGGAAATGTGAATTTATTGATGACTACCAGTACTCCTTTTTGCACTTCTCGAAAAAATTCTCATGGTATAGTCCTACTGTTTAGAATGGATAATGTTATTGGATTTATATATTTATAGAAGCAGGTGCTGTATATGCACCATGTATTAGAAGAGACTATAGTCTACAGATAGAATATTTGAGACAATATGTAGTATCACAGACTCTAGGTTGTTGTGAAGTATTAATAAGAAATACAGCTGGTACAACAACACAAGATGAATGTGATAAATATACTAATGGTAACAATAACATATCTTTCTCAATCATTACCAATAATTCTTAAAAAACATGTTGAACCCTCAATGCATCAAAAGGCCAAAAAGCATTTTCTTTATATAAATTTAACAAATAAGGTGTATTTTAAATAATAATTTAGAGGATTATAAGAAAAGACCTTGGTTGGTTAGACAGCATCTTGAGTTCAGTGTTTATCGATAAAAATAAATCATCCTTTAGGTGTTCAGTAACAATAAAGATGGTGGCCTGAATTCAATAGAAAGTAAAGTGACAGACGTAACTGACACCATGATAGATATATTTTTAGACTATGTGCTTTTAGCAACATTGTCTTTCATTATGTATGGTCTCGAATATTGTGTCTGTAAAAGAGATAACTTTCACAGATTATCCAAGTTCTGCTGCTTTTTGAAGTCCCAATGAGTTTAAGACCATACAAAGTCTGAATTGCTTTTAATAAAACAAATTGGATCCAGAGATTATTTAATTCTAACAGAAGTTATGGGAAGTTTACATAGATTTCTATTGAATTCACACCACCCTATTTAAGCATCTTAGAAAAATAAAGTATTTAATAGTTATTTCTTTCAAGACAACCGTTTCTTGATGCAGGTTCATCTTTTTACTATACACATTACATGACCGAATGGTTAGCAAGTGCGCGCTGTATCATAAGACCTGTCATTGAGTCAACTGGCGTGGTTTTGAATCCCCGGTTATACGTGACAAGGAATAGGGTCGCTTGCCCAACCTCGTGGGTTTTCTCCGGGTCCTCCAGTTTCCTCCCACTGCTAAAGACCCCTACGCGCAAACGAATTATTGAAATAGTGTTAAACCATGTTGGTCCCGAAGTGACCTAGTTTGTGTGAGTGGATGTTAAACTCTCTCTTTCTCTCACTCACACATTACATGAAATAATACATATTTTTGACTATTCAGATATAAGAATAATCTGGCTTGTTGTATCAGATATTTGATTTGGATTGATTTCAGGTGTAGGGTCTTGGAGAACTGGAGTACCCTGTAGTAAACGACCATCAGGTCAAAATTATGTTGCACATATATTGCATCCATGTTGTGTTGGTCTAAAAGCTAAATGTCAGTTGATATCACACGAACATTGTTTATTTCTTGGTGGAACTTTTCATAAAGATATAGATCACTGTACACAGGTTTGTTCTATTCATAGTTCACTTTAGAATACAAAAATTGAACATTAAACATGCATTATGCAAGAGCTAAATCTGCCTATTGCAGGTCTTTCTTTGGGCCTGAAATGTTATCTAAATTATTAATTAGACATTAATCAACTTATCCAGACCATAATCAATGGATAATTCAGACTTTGTTTGTTATCATACCAACGTTAGTAATGACAACCAAGACTAGCCTAAAATTGAATGGCAAATATCTCGGTCCAGAGTGAAGCATATTATGTTTTCATTATCTATTTTTTAACAATTATAGCGAGAACTGTCAGCTCTTTATCTAATCTTACCTAATGCCCCTTTAATAAACAGACATGGAAAATATATTTATTTGAAAGATTCACAATTTTTTGAAATATGAAAAAAACAACCAAAAACAATGCCAACATAGATCATTATTTAAATTGAATCAAATATTGCAGTAGCATTCAAATAATGAATTCAATGCATTTTTATTATTAAAAAAAATTGGTGTAAAGGAATGAAATAAAGATATTTTTAAAACAGAAATCATTGTTCCCATAGCAAATCAAAACTTGGCCATTTAACTTGGAAGCTCAAAATTTACCTTCATAACTATTACTAGTAATGCTAGAATCAGTATATTTGAACCAAACTGATGTAATTTATAACTTAATAACTTAAACAAGAACATTTTGCCACACACCATAAACCAAATGAATCAATTTTATTTGCAGGTTAATTGCCTCAATGGCCTGTGTGGGTTTACTGGGTTATCTGAATCTACATCAGATGGTTTTCCAGTCTCTCCATATCAAGCTTGGCGGGTTTTTGTAGCTTTATTCTATTGTCATGGAGTTATCCACCTTATTTTGATCTTGTTTGTGGAATGGCTGATTATGAGGTCAGTTGAAAGATCATCTGGATGGTTACGTTTAATGCTGATATTCCTAATTTCTGGAATGACTTCTGTTGTGGTGAGTGAGTTTTAAGTTGTGATTATATAATTCAAACCCTGCTGTAACAAAATAGACAGTTTATATACCAGACTTGACTTCAATTGAACATGTGTGAGATGAAATAATTTGAAACGAGGTTCGACATCTTCTTTTGAGGGAAATTTGCCTTGACAGCTGCACAATAAACCTACTCTTATTTCAATTTCCAACTGTCAGGGGAGCTTTACATTGCCTCCAGTGGTATACAACAGTGAACAGACTTCTATTTTTCATACAACTGGATACAGTAAACACTTTTCTTTGCCCGCCCATCCATCCTACAAAGGGGATATCAGACTGGGACCTCCTAGTACCAGCACCACCATACTCATCAATCTACTCTCCTTTTACATCATGGTCTGTAATATGCATATGGATATATTGCAGACAAATGCTGCTTTTCCATTTGTCTGGATCACATCACTCTCATCAATACTTTTACTTTTCAGTAAATGAAATGAAATGGGGTTTAACGTCCTACTGTTCTGCTCCGAACTGGGCTAATGAAGACGGGCATACGCCATACAGTGTGCTATGAGGGAAATTTTGCCCTGACAGCGGCACTACGGCCTAATCTTATATCGAATGCCAACTGTCAAGGGATCTTTTACGTGCACGCCAATGTGTACACGGGACCTCAGTTTTTCGTTCCATCCGAACGACTAGACAGCTGTCCTTGTCAGGTCCTCACTTTTCAGTAAATAATAACAAAAATGCAGATAAGAATTGAGTCCACTGTATTCTACAGTATTCTACTTTTTAGAAGGCCTGGAAAACTAATTTAAGATTTAAATATTAAAGCCGGTAGCTGTTTTATTTATGTTATGTTGTATTTTTCAGGCAGCATCCATTATATCTCCCTATTTACCCCAAGTTGGTAGTACTGGTGCTGTATTCGGTGCAGTAGGTGTTTCAATCATCGAAGTCATTCAAGCATGGAAAATTATCAACAAACCATGGAAAGAATTGATTAAAATTATCATTGTCATAACTTTCTTTCTGATTTCTGGCTTGTTGCCACTGGTTAGTAATTTTGCCATTTTGACAGGTATCACAATGGGGATATTTTCCTCCATGTTGCTTCTGCCATATATAACTTTAGGATTATATGAGCGCCAAGGAAGAATAGCATTAATCATTATTTCTATTCCTTTATTATTTATGATGTTCTTTGTAATATTCTATACATATGTTAAAGTTCAAAATGTTCAACTTTGTAAAGGTTGTCAAAATTTTGAGTGTGTTCCATTCTCAGATAAAATCTGTAGCTATCTCTAAATTAATACTTGTTGGTAGTTTTAGGTTTGTTCAAATAATTTATTTTAAAATTTCTTTCTGGGATTATTCATATACAATGTATCATACATTAAATATCCCTTTTGTTTATACTGATCTTGTTAAACATGCATTATGCAGGAGCTAAATCTGTCTATTGCAGGTCTTTCTTTAGGCCTGAAATGTTATCTAAATTATTAATTAGACATTAATTAACTTATCCAGACCATAATCAACTCTAGATTGTATCGCTAGCCTGCGATCTTTAGTGGATTATGAGCCGATTTACTGCATAACTTTCCTTCAGGATTTAACGATTAAATGTATAATCGAGACTATGCTGTTTATCGTACTGACTTTAGTAATGATGATCGAGGCTAGGCGGAAATTTCAATTGCTTAGTTCTCGGTTCATAGTGGATCAATTTGAATGAAATTTTCAGCAAATTGCCTTTCTATTATCTAGTTTTTAACTATTATAGTGAGAACTGCTAACTCATTATTGAATCTCCCATAATGTATCTTTAACTAAATTCAAATTTTAAACTTTTAAATAATTGTTTGAACGTTGAAAGTAAATCATGTACTAAGAGTATAGCTAGTTTGAAAGTTTTATAATTTAATTTAAGACCTGTTACATTTAAATTTATAAAATGTTAACTATTTCTTTTGCGTGCTGTTATCTGTTAAAAGATTTATTATTGATAATTTATTGAAATCCAAATAAAACTGGTTAATGTGGACTTTATATTTGTGCTTTTCCTAAGTTCTGAGATTGTAAAGATTGTGATGTAGTAACAAATTCATCTTTATGTGTCTTTTCCACCGGTTTGTCTTTAGGGTTTCTATTTGCTTGTTTATGTATGTTGTGGTTCTCTTGCACTTATTAACAGAAATCTTAGACATGACAGACTGTTTCACAATAATATGGCTGCATAATATGTGTGGACATAGACAACTAACGAGTGTAATTAACAAAACAATTTATTAAAATACATGTACTTATCAACTGGCGCTTATTGTTTTTGCTTTTTTACTTTTTTGGTTTGAATTGTTTGTATCCTCTGCTGTTCTTTTAAGTGTTTTCTTTTCATCTTGTTGTTCTGTAAATTCTGGTACAATTCGTGTAAAATTCATTGTTGATTTAACTGCTCTTCTAGACTCTAGAAAACATTCATAGATGAATGACAAGCATGATAGGTTAATTTTGTAGGACAATAAACTAAAGAATATCAGTAAAGTTGCAATAGACTTATGACACTCAGTAACTTATTGTCAATAATCAGCCTTTAATCATACTAACTGCTATGCATATTAAATTAGAAATTAAAGATACATTATTCAAGAGCTAAATTAGTCTATTGCAGGTCTTCCTTTAAGACTTTAAATGTGATATAAATTATTAATTAGATATTTATTAACATGACAAGACCATAATCAACTCACGATGCCTTCGGATACTCAAGATTTTAACAAGATTAAAACAATTTGGCCATTTAATAATTTAATTTAAAGATGGGTTGCCAGGCAACGAAACATACCCACAAAAGCTAAATTATCCAAGCGGTCGACAAGGTTTGTTGCATATTTATTCTTTTGTAAGTAATTGAGGGCATTTACAATACAATTTCATATAGATCAGATTATAATTTTTGTCGTTTGAGGGCTACAGGGTTCTACAAACTGAAACAAGAGCCTTAACTCTGGAAGTAATTTACAGAAAATTTTGAAATTTGATATAAATTTTTTACAGATTGGCTAACTTTTGTCATTCGAACGTTCACAAGGTTCACAAAGTAAAACAAGGCCATAACTCTAGAAATAATTGATGAAAATTGCTGAAATTCAATAGACCTCTGTTTCACAAATTTAAATGATGAATATTAATTTCATACATATCTGATTATAACTTTCATCAATTGAGCATTAACAAGGTTGAACAAAGTGAAACAAGGGCCATAACTCTAGAAGTAATTAATGGAAATTGCTGAAATTCAACAGGCTTCACCGTTTCACTAATTTAAATAATACATATAAAATTCACAAAGATCAGATGATAACTTTTGGTGTTAGAGCATTCACATGGTTCAATAAAGTGAAACAAGGGCCATAACTCTAGATGTAAGAAACGGAAATTGCTGAAATTCAGTTGGTTTCTTTGTTTCATTAATTTAATTAATGCATATAAATTTAACAAAGATCGGATGAAAACTTTTGGCATTAGAGCGTTCACAAGGTTAAACAAACTGACAGAAGGGCCATAAATCTAGAAGTAATAAACAGAAATTGCTGAAATTCAATAGGCTTCTCCGTTTCCCTAATTGAAATATTGCATATAAATTTCACAAAGATCGGATGTTAACTTTTAGCATTAGAACGTTCACAAGGTTCAACAAAGTGAAACAAGGGCCATAACTCTAGACATAATAAACGGAAATTATTGAAATTAAATAGGCTTCTTCATCTTACTAATGTAAACGACATATATCAATTTTAAAACAATTGGATGACAATTTTTGCCGTTAGAGCGTTCACAAGAAATTGTGGACGTAGGACGGACAGACGGGGGCGATGACAATATACGTCCACATTTCCATGTGGGCGTAGAAAAATGGGAAAGTGAGGCGAAGCCTCGAATATACCAGTACCGTGGTTACGATAATACACAATCGATATACACATCTTGTCAAAACTACAAACTTGGCTCAGAATAAAGTAATTTTAATGAATTTTCAATATATTCATTTTGCATTATCTATTTTTGAACTATTATAGCAAGAACGGGCAGCTCTTTATCTAAATCTTACACAATGTATCTTTAAGTTTTGTTATATAAACACTTAAAAATAATCTCTTATTTACCCTTTGATAACAGTGTTAAATGTAAACATTCTATTTTGGTAGCCAACTAAGGCAGATATAGTAAGCTGTAAATGGTCATAATATATCATGTTATTAAACTATGCAAAGATTTGACATGATTTGAGTTACATGGATTGATAACAATATTGCTACCATGATCACTGCACCATGGCAAAAAATTAAGTTCATTTTGCAATATTAAATGAAGCTTTAATCCATCAGACTACAAAAGTTCAGAAATTGTAAACATACCAGCATGCATCATTAAGCTTCGACAGTTTCTAGAAACGGCATCTTTTGCTTGATCAAAAGTCATCCCAAATAACTGAGCTCTGATTTTATTGGTTAAGTAAAAAATTTGCCTCAAGGATTCCCATCTACCCAACAGCTTTTCCATTTGAAATCTTATGTTTGTTGCAACAAAACTGTCATTCGAAGTAGTACCAGGAATAAGAAAACATGCAGGGCTTACAAGAACCTGAGGACAATATTCTTAAGTGTATTGTGTTTTCAAATATTAACACTCAAAACAGCTACAGAAAATATCTGCAATAACTTAATTCTCAGTTATCGGGTACAGTACTATCATAAATTTTCATTCTAGAATATCTTGCCTGTTAAATTCCGAAAGAATTTCTATCTACTTCCAAAATAAAAGTTAGGTACCATATTTACTTTTCACTGCTTTAGAGTTTAAGTTAGATATTTAGTTTTCACTGCTTTAACTGTAAATCAGTAGCTTCTGATTTCAAGCATTAGGACCAGGGCTTGTATTTCCGTCATATTTGTCAGTCTTGACTGACAGTGAAATTGACTAGCTGGAGAAAATGCATGTCAGTCAGTTCACGTGCCATAAAATTAGAATTTCAAAGGATCTAAATACAAGTTAAATTAAGGCCATATAATAAAATTATTCTGATTCATAGATAATTCTGCATCACTTAAAAAGGACTGCATGACCTGTTTTTATTTACTCAGCCAAATTAAAAACTTGACACTCAGGATTTTTGGGACTAGATTTTTAATATTTTGTTTAAGGTAACTATTTTAGTGTTATGTTGTGCACAGACGACCTTGACATCAACAGAAAGCAAGAATACGTCTCGCCGAAAGTCCTTGTCATTGATAACGTTTGTAATGTCACAGTACCCCCCAAAATGAAATTCACAGACTTGGAGAACAATCGGAATAAAGTTTTAAGTAACGGTTGTGGCCTCCTAGCTTCTTGTACTGCCACACAACGTCTTCTCATGGATCTCAGAACATTAGTAAACACCACCAGAGGAAGACGTCGCCACTGCTCAGCAAGAGCATGTTGAAGGTCCTGCAACGTCAGTGGTGGATTCATTTGCTGACGAACACGTCGACTCAGTTCGTCCCAGATGTGTTCAATAGGATTAAGGTTGGGGCTAATCGACAGCCAATCCAGGACTTGGACAACGGCATTTCTTAAAAAATTATGGGTAGCAATTGCTGTATGGGGTCGAGCATTGTCTTGTTGAAACGTTAGTCCAGGCCCATGTCTCTGCATAAAAGGAAGAAGAACAGGTTGCAAAATCTGATCCCTGTACTGGACAGCATTTAAGTTCCCTTGGACAACAACAAGAGGAGAACGTCCATGTGCACAAAAAGAACCCCAAACCATGACGCTGCCGCCACCAAATCGGTCAACTTCTCTGACGCATACTTGAGCGTAAAGTTCACCTCGTCTGCGGTACACTCGGACCCTGCCATTGGCAAATCTCAAAGTGAATCGAGATTCGTCACTAAAGACAACTGAATTCCACTGTCTTTGAGTAAATCTTATGTGTCTTGTGGCCCACACAAGTCGGTTACGGCGATGAAGAGGTGTCAATATTGGTCCATTATAGGGCCTCCGAGCTCGAAGACCAGCAGCCTGCAAGCGATTTCGAACAGTTTGTGCAGTTACCCTTCCACCAAACATCTCTCTACTTGTGGAGGTTGCAGTGACAAATCTGTTTCTAAGATGACGTAATCGTATTGCTTGATCTCCCTGGAGTGACGTCACACGTGGCGCTCCCGCCCTTGGGCGGTCGGCAATAGTTCCAGTTTGAAGCACTCTCATTCTAAGATTAATTATTGTCTGGCGTGAACAATTAAAGGCTCTTGCAACACTGACCACAGACTGACCAGCATAGAGCCTACCTATAGCACATAGACGTTCTACATTTGAAAAGCGAGGCATTTTCTAACAAAGATGAAAATAACAATTTTAATTTGTTTTTCCAGTTCAAATTACGTGTGCGAGTTCAGTTTAAGCAAACTTGCATCGATTGACCTCACGAGTTTGTGTTTGCACGTGTTTTTCAGGTTTTTCATCTTTATATGCTCAAAAGTCACGTGATCCACGTGACTTTACAATTTTATGAAATTAAAGGCTTCTTACAACTTACTATTGTTAGAAACACTTTAAAATTTATTTGACTTACCAGAAAAAAAAATTTGTTGAAATTCATCAGTGTCAAGTTTTTAATTTGGCTGAGTATATTTTTGACAATCTCCTTAATTACCGCCCATAAATGTTGTTTTTTTTGTCTGGCCTAAATAACTCAATAGATAGAGTTAAATTTATAGATTTTATCTATAGAAACAATTAAAAATAATGGGATGATGCAACAAATTGCCATATTCTTTGGAAAAAATATATTGCTGATCCAAAGGAAACAAAATAAGATAAAAATTGGTCAGCTGGCAACATTTTGATGCGAATTCCGGGAATAGATTGTTCTTGAACTTTTCCAAACTAAGATATACAGTCAAGATATAGTTAGTTTATTCAAGCTTTACGTCATCCTAAGGTGATATCACAGACAAGTGTTATTTTATTTATAAAGGATACAAATTGGCTATATCATATGGTCCTCTTAATTCTATTGACTGAAATAAAACAAAGGAATGAAAAGTTATTAATGGAACTAATTTCTTTTGTAAATACATCCGTAAATGATTTCAATTTAAAACTGCTTGATATCAAAGTATAAAATTAAATAATTATTAATTTACCTTGTCAGTACCACTTGTAATAATTACATTCTGTAAGAGAAAATACACTCCTGTTTAATTTCAAAACTTATTAAAACAATATTTTTGTTCAATTTTTTAATAGTTGCGTATTGTTGGGGGTCAATGAAGGGGGATGCAATACCACTAGTATTAACTAATGATGAAAACCAGGGACAGATTGATTTCACAACTCCAGTAAAAGTTGCATTTACTGTAAAGTAAAACAATACAAATACTGTTGGGCTTTTTTTTTAAATAACCCAAAAGAGAAGTTACCTTTCCTTTGGTTACTCGGACTAGATCACAGGCATTAGATATAATATATCTTCTCATAGTCTGATCCCTGATGGCTGGACTGTACATAATTTCAAAATATAAACCTCTTTCAATTGCCTTTTAAAGAGAAGTAAGTGGATTTAAGCATTTTGACATAAAATCAACTTAAAGATATATTCCCACAACATAAATTTATATTTGCTCAAGCATAACAAGTTAAAGATATATTCCCTCAAAAGTATTAACAACTTTTATACCCTTATAACAAGTTAAAGTTATGTTCCCTCAAGTATACTAACAAGTTAAAGTTATATTTCCTAATAAGTTAAAATTATGTTCCCTCAAGCATACTAACAACTTAAAGTTACATTTCCTAATAACAAGTGAAAGTTATGCTACCTCAAGCATACTCACAACTTAAAGTTAGATTTCCTAATAAAAAGTGAAAGTTATGCTACCTCAAGCATACTAAAAACCTAAAGTTATATTTCCTAATAACAAGTGAAAGTTATGCTACCTCAAGCATACTAACAACTTAAAGTTATATTTCCTAATAACAAGTGAAAGTTATGTTCTCCCACGCATCATAACAACTTTAAAGATTGATTATATTCCCTATATCAACTACTTCAAGATATATTCCCAATATCCCCTTAAATTATATCATCTCTTTTACAATCTAAGCTTATTTTTATCTGAGAGTCTGCCATATCCATATTGACCATCAAAAAATAAATTATGCATTCAAAACACCCAATGAATTAAATATGTGACAAGAACTTTGACCTGCAGAGAAGTCACAAGAAATTGTTGACGGAAAAGACAGACGAGAGACAACTGACAACAATGTGCGTACCCATAACTCCATAAGGCAGTAGAAGAAACTTACCACATTGATGGAAGATCTTTTTAAATAAAATGGTAATTTTTCTGTTAGATTTAATGATATAACATCAATATCTAATACCCGACATGCATTCTGAAAAAAACCATCAACATTAAATAAGAACTTGTAATTGGTGAATTTATGTAAGTGGTAATCAAGGTATAGGACAGTTTTATCTCTCATCAACACAATAATATTTCGGCAATTTTGAGACTAAGCTAGATATTTTTCTATGGTCTCATCTACAATACTAGCACCGACACATTCCATCTGTCGTGGGTTCTTTTATTGGAACTTCAGTGTGTACACGGGTGGACCTCATGTTTTTATCCCATCAATGTCAGCCCACTTGTGCTACCTTTGACAAGTAGGAGCAACACTTTATAATTCCCATGGCTCTGATCGGCCCATACTGGGTGGAAGAGAAACTGCAAACATTCTAGGCTACCAAAACCTCCTTATAACATCATTGTGTTTAATGTTTTAAATGAAAGCAATATTTCTGAAATACCACATTCACTATAGATGTACTTACTTGAAATAGAGCATCAGTAGTTGGACGAACAGCAACTATATCATAACACTGTATTTCTGTTGTGTTCTACAAATATAAAACAGACAAAGAAAGAGAATTTGTGGTTTAATTACTGGCTTCTGCATAGTGGGAGAAAATCTTAAGAACCAGAAAGACAAAGCAACTCCCTTATAATCACATTTAATACACGACAGTCAAATTATTATACCAGTTTCACTGTTAGTATACCTACTTAAAGGGAATTACCTTTTTTTACATTTAGCTTGATTTGACTAGACAGTCACATCAGGTGTTGTTCAAAACAGTTTACATATAAAAGTCATACAAAATAGTTGTTTTCACAGAGTTTAAACTCACGCATCATGCCTAACTCTATACAATCAATGAAAACTTGGATCCTTAGCATTATATTTTGTATGTTAAAACATAATTTAACTTACTAGTTTTGTACTGTTAAGGTTATTATTTATAGTTGTTGTAAATCTGGAAAGAATTCTCAGGGGTCTTCCTGAATCCTGCACAGAAATAAAATATATATATAAAGATGTGAATAATTTCTTGTATGCTTAATGGACAACTTCAAGTCACTGATCTTGATCGTACATTTCGGCTTAATCCATGCTGAAATATACTCCAATCGATTATTAAAATAATACCAACAATACCAAAATAAATAATCTATTCGGAAAGGCATCTTTAAATAATGCTTGATACTGAGTAGACATACTGCACAAATGGTTTATAGTTATTTATCTATATTGAGCTAGACTCCTTTATTTTTTAACATAATTTAATGACAGAGAATTATTTTCAATGAATCGATAAGTCTTTGATATAATAAATCCTGTAATTTCAAATAAGCAGGACTTTCCTAAAAACATTAAGAGAATAATCTTCAAAACGTCACCCAAATAAATAAATAATTGTTCTTCCATTAATATGTGGTATAGTTTATTGACCAGGACTTACTTGTATTTTCTGTATTATTGCTGTTTCTGGTTTTATTTCTTCTGGTGACTTAACTTTCTGAAATACAGGAATTTGAAACATAAATTTGTGAATTAAACAAACTCAAACCAGTCAGAAAATCAGATGAGGTGTAAGCAAATTTGTGACGTAAACAAATTTTAAAGCTATAATACAGTACCACATTCAAATGTGATTCTGTGTTAGTTTTTAAATCCAAAACCAAAACTTGATTATTTAGTCACTATCATTAACATTCCACAGTGAGAACATTTTCTAGCATCTAGAGCATTCCCTAGTAGATTGAATAGTCGTGCGATACAAATATCATTATTATTAATTATCACTAGAATTCTCATGTTCAATCAGGTGACACTCTAACAGGAATTGGAAGAATTAAATGCTGAACGATCAGTCAAGTATCTCCTTATAGTTTCCCAGTTAGGTTCATTTTCACTTCTCTTTTGTTTATTATTCAGTTGGCTATTATTAATAATGTATTTCTTTTCAATCTGCTTTTAAAATTAATACTGATATTTTGGCTTGTAATATTTCAACAAAGTATGACTTTAGTAACAGCAATGCATCATGTTTTTTAATCTTTTATTACCTGATGTTTTATCTTTTTTCCAACTTCAAGAAAATCAGGCACATCATTGTTTATTGCAACACAATCATATCCCACTGAAAGTTAAAAACAAATACAACTGAAATAAAATTAACAAACACTTGCAACCTTTGTGTGTTGAATGTTTTGTATAAAGCTACAATGTATGTCTGCATAACAAAAATCTTAAAGTTGCAGTATGTAAGAGTTAAATCTGCCTAATGCAGATCTCTTGTTTGGCCTCAAATGTTATATAAATCATTAATTAGACATTTATTCACATGCCAAGCCCATAATCAACTCTCTAGGACATCGGATGGATTTGATTTTCAATGTATTTAAACACAAATGGTAGTTAATAGCTTAATTAAAAATTGGATAATCGGAACTTTGTTTATTATCGCAACAACAGTAGCAATGACAATCAAGATTACAATTTTCTTCAAACGGTCATAACTCTGCTCAGAATGAAGTAATTTGACTGCAAATTTTCAACATATTCCCTTTTCTTTATCTATTTTTTTAACTAGTATAGTGAAAACTGTCAGCTCTTTATCTAAATCTTACATAATGCATCTTTAATCAAATCACATTTTTAGAACAATCTTAATTGGTGCTGTTTCTTTACTAACACACAAAAGAAGTGTCTTATGCTTCTTTTTCATTTGATTTACACTCAAAAGAATCAAGTTGAAAATTGATAAAGTCTTCATTTTTTGCACTATTCTCAATCATAATTAGATTTTAAAAAAAAAAAATAATTAAATAGTATCCATTATGAGGATGTGTTTTGTCTGACTGACTTAAATTGCATTTCCCAAACAATTTTAACAGGGAATTAGTAGTGTCAAGACAAAGGACCAAGCCCAAGGTAAAATTTAAAAAGGGTAGAACATTTGAAGGGAGCCAGTTAACCCGTCCACAGTTTAGTCGTCCAAAACCATTGGTAAAGTCATCCACAAGGTATTGGTTATGTCGTTCACAACTAATGGTTATGTTATCCACAACTAATGGTTATGCCATCCACCACTAATGGTTATGTCATCCACAACTAAAAGTTGACTCGTAATTGTATGGAATAAATAACTTTTACTTATTGGTTGTTTATAATTGTTTTATTTACCCAATAATCAACAAGCTTGGTTGATTAATCACGTTCATCAATTTTTTTGTAATAATGTAGCCTTGTGTTGTTTGTTGATTGGCGTTATGATTTTAGACAAAATGTATACAAATCGAAGATTAGACAACATTTAATAGCCTGGAAATAAGGCACCTGTCACAGACAATGTCAGGCCCAGATTCAGGCTTTGTCAGGCGCTAAACATCTAGGGCCTGTCATTTTGTCCGGCACTGATTTGTCTTTTTATTGATATTATTAATACATGTCCGGTACCAAGTTTAAAATAGCTAAGTCTCTAACTCAATATCATCCAAAATCTTCAACATTGAAAACACAATTTATTTGTCAAATTAAATCAACATTCATGTTGTGATCTTTCCGGAAAAAGATGGGCTTTTGATATCCAATATTTAAGACAAAATAAACATTTTACCATTTGTACACGAATCGTGTACCAGCCCCAGTTGTATCAAGAGACTCGAGGGACGAGGCTAGACACATTGCACCAAATCAAACGGCGTATGTAGACTGGGATAACCAGAAGCTAGAAATTTGCACTTGCTTGAGACTGCTGGCTTATTTCGCCGAACATAATTGATTTGAAATTGGAGTAAAAACGGAAACCATTGAATGTAAATCAGTTTATATACATTCATATTACAGTATTATATGTGTTGCGACTCACTTTTGTCAATTTCTAGGTCCCAAATGTTAGCGATTTAGCTCTTTTAAAATGTCAGATACTAATTCATTAGTGCCTGCCATGTTGTCAGGTAAATTTAAAACCATTATTTCCAGGCTTGTTGACTTGATATGAAATCTGAATATAAATTATTTGATGGATAAACTTTTGTGATAAGATTAGTTCATGATGTCTAACAATATAAATCTTCTTTAAAAAAAAGTTTTTTACCATTACATTGACAGCTTAATCACTCACCATATTTTAACCTTAGTTACTACATCTGTAGTATATATGCAATGCCTTATATGGCATGGAACTGTACTTTGTAATAGAATTCACAAGTGTGGATTGGCTGAGAAATGATAGCGGTTTATTGTTATGCATGGTCATCAGAAAATTCCATATTTGTTGTGAATTTCAAATAGATGACTTAACTAGACTTTCCGTGTTGACGAGTTTGCTTATGGCATGAACGAGTTAACTGACAGTCACAGTGGCAGTCCATTTAAAGAAATTGTGATCTATGCTGTGGGTTTTTAACATAGATAGATAAATCTTTGAACCAGATTTTAAAGAGAAAAGCATATATAATGAAGTATGTATAAAGTCTGTCGTCAAAGAAAGCTGTGTTAGCTATTTGGGGATCTTTTTTCAATAATGGATCATCTAGGCTTACTTTCTACTTTCACTTTGGTTTAGCTTTTCTGAAAAAAAGTAATCTTTAGACCGTTCCATGAAAGTAAATTTGAGTAGTTTTAAACGAGAATTCATTATATCGGTTTGGTGTTGCGTTTTACATAGACAGGAGCTATTTACATTTTCTAGCTGTTTTTAACAGCCCTAAAATCGTCGTTTTGTCTTCGCACATTAAATTAAAATCAGAAAAGGCAGCCATGCTTGTTTACGCCGGAAGTGTTCAATTTCTAATTTTCATTTATTTTATATCATATTATTTTCTTCTCTTATCTACGTCATTACACATTGACAAGAATTTATCAAAATTATGAAATAACATAATCTCTGATAAATAAAGAAAGGGGTAATTTTCATACTATCGGACGTTCGAGAGTTGCTGGTGACGTCATAAAATTTTATTTCCCAAAAAAGGGAAGAGCCCGACTTGGGTGTTGAAACAGACTTTTGTTTCTGTCAAATTTTTGAAGTAATATGTCTGTTATGTCGTCTATAGAAACAAAAATGGAAACTTCTAACCCCCTTGACGAAAAGGGACACGAAAAGTTAGAGGAAAAGAGGGTGAGAACCGTTTTTGATAACATTTTCATTTCTCGATGTTGGTTTCGCTGTGACATTCGACGGATTCGTCGCCATTTCTCTTTCAGTTTCAGAAACCGGAATTGTCATGATTGTGCGAATCTGCCAAGAATTTTTTTGTCTCCTCATAATGTACGACTTGGCTGATGTTGTGTTGTATTATATATTTACTATTTCTGGCTAATTTGATTGAAACATAATTATCATATTTTTAACAGTCAGGATATAACAATCGGGTTGTTCAAGTTCATTACTGACCTCACCGATATTTAATATTAGGGCCTATACACGTACTATTAGGCCTACTCACTACTGATTTACTGTCAGATCAGACTAGATTTACTGTTATACTTATTGGACATGTTATTTATTATTATATAATGATATATCTTTTGTTTTTGTTGAAACTTACATGTTACATTTTACATTTTCAACTTCTTAAGTAGATTGGTCTACTGCTACTAGGCTAGAGTAGTGAATAGAAACAAAAAATTTACATTATGGTACCCTATCCCATGGGTTATAAAGCAGCGGCACATCAAAGATTAAATATATCTAATTTACAAAAACGTCGCCTAAAGAACACTGCAATAAAATTTTAATTTGATTGTAAGAAATACTGTCAATCACTCGCCAGCATGGGTCTTTTCATTGTTTGATAATGCACAGGTACAGATTTAGAACATAAATTACAACAGGTTAAATGAAGATTTATTCAACAGAATAAGAACTGGATGGTCTGTTATCAAAGGGGTTGTAAGGAAATAAACATAAAAAATCTTCTCAACAAGTAATTGTATCAAATTTCTTTATAATCTTACTCAATTGTTCAGTACATACATGTAGGTTTTTTTGGGGGCAGAGTTTTTTGGGGTTTTTTTTTTTCAAAAATACCTGATGTAGAGTTAAATGAAGATTTATTCAACAGAATAAGAACTGGATGGTCTGTTATCAAAGGGGTTGTAAGGAAATAAACATAAAAAATCTTCTCAACCAGTAATTGTATCAAATTTCTTTATAATCTTACTCAATTGTTCAGTACATACATGTAGGTTTTTTTGGGGGGAGAGTTTTTTTGGGGTTTTTTTTTTCAAAAATACCTGATGTAGAGTTAAATTTATTTTCCATAGCTGCCTTACATAATAAAGAAGCTAATACATCAATATTTCAGAACTAATGAAGTGTGAAACAGAATTAAATATAATGTGTATTCCAGTCTAGTCGTCCACATGACATGTTAGGAACACAGAAAGTATTTATAGTATAGTCAGTATAATAATATAAGTGTTTGATATGAGTATAATTTTCTTTACGTTGATTGGCAGACTATCGGCAATTTAGAGCTGTCGCATTTATAAATATTCAATAACATTTTCACTAATAAATAATGTTACTACACAGCCACTAAACGGCTCACCTCTATAGTCCCAATACACTTCCCCAGTTCATATTATTCCCATTTTATAAATATTTTATGAATAGTGTCCAACTTCTTCCATTGCATACTCATTAGCTTATTTTCCGAATACACTCAATTCTCGACACCAGTTTCACTTGTAATATAGTCATTTTCATGCATGTTGGTTTCACAATAACAGAATTGCCCTGTGATATAACAGATCAAAGAATAAAATTGTACATAGCCACTTGTTCGACACTGTTATCTTCAGTTTTTCAGACTACCTGGCACCTCAAATAATCCAACGTTAAAAGAAAGCATGCTGTGTCCGCCTTAAAACAGGTTCCATTGCTTTATGATTTATTTTATAATTTATTACACAGGTTAGACCACAATGTGTTACGATTCGCATTTTGGTATTCTAAATTGATTCTTATATGGAAGTCTTATATTTGGTGTAGTTCCATTTTGTGTACAGAAATTAAATCATTGATTAGTTTTCAAATTAATTATGGTGCCGAAATAATATCAATCTAATTTGTCTTATTTAAAAGGGGCTCTGGCGCAATTTAGTTGATTATTGGGTAATTTGTTGTTTCTGTGATAAATTTTGGCGAGTGATTGTCAATGTGTAATTCTACATTTTGGAAAACATGAAGACATGCTCAACAACAACACATTATATCTTTTGGCATCAAATATTATTTAAATCAATATTTCATATATTTTACTAAATAAAAAATAAACCTGGCAGTAGATACAAAATCAATGCTGATTTCAAGAAAACACAAAAGAAATCAGAAAAACCTAACTTTATCACTCCATGGTGAGAAAATTGAGACGGTTACTACCGCAAAATTACTTGGAATTCAAATTGACCAAGACCTTAATTGGGAAGCACAGATAGCAGATATGTCTAAAAAACTTGCATCAAAAATATTTCTCCTAAATAAGATAAAAGATCATTTACCTTACGAGACAAGAATTTTGTTTTATAACAGTTACATACTACCAATATTTGATTATTGCTCTATTATTTGGGGAAATGCTACCAAAAGTAGATTAGACATTCTTTTAAAATTACAAAAGAGGGCAGCAAGAGCTATTCTTGATGCACCGATTGAAACTCCGTCCACCTCTTTATTTACTAAACTCGGTTGGCTTACCCTTACACAGAGGATTCTTTACAATAAAATTGTCTTATCATTCAAAATTATTACATTTAATACTCCACTTTATCTAAATTTCCATTTTATTGAAAAATCTCTTGTTTCCAAAACGGATATCTTGCTCCGTTCACAGACCAGTAAATCTCTTTTTCTTCAAAAATGCAAAACGGAATCCATGAAACGTACTTTTCATTATTCTGCATGTCTTTTATGGAACAATCTGCCTTTTGATATAAAGATGTGTAAAAATGTTGAAAATTTTAAGATTAAACTGAAAACTCATCTATTTTGCACACTGTAGGAACCATAATATTCAACTGATGACATACTTATTATTTTTAACTTGCAACTGCATTCTATTTTATTTTGTGTGTAATTATAGTGTTCTTCCTATATTCTACTTGTATAATGTATATGTTTTGTAGTTTGGGAGTGACTTATCAAACTTTCCACTTTAAAATGCTATTGCATTTCTAATGATTTTAAATTTATCCTGATATTACATGTATATATGTCTTTGTAATTTAGGAGGGACCTATGGAAGATTAGTTTTTTTTTTGCAAACTAAATACGTTGCCTCATTAAATAAAGTTTTTATTATTATTATTATTATTATACAATAGAAATTAGAACAATATTAAAATTCAGAATATACCATGTACAGTTTACTAAAAAAACAAAACAAACTAGAGTTAGATGTGTATGTGACTTTGTGCAATCAATGAATATTTTAAGCTGCTAACTAATTTATTTGATCCTCTAAAATAGTACCACAGTCATGTCTTGGAAGTAGAGTACTAATGTTTCAATGACTTAATATCATACATATATGACTATGATATATTTAATTTAACCCATTTGTGCTACCGGTACCTGGATAATCCATATGATTGTTAATATAATTTACAGTCCACATAATTTTTCAATAACATCTTAAAGGGCGTATAGCTCCGTTCATTGGAAACTTAGAATAAATGCCAAAGGGTCTAAAAGCACATATACATGTAATTGTAATGTATGCATATAAAGTGATTTCTATTCATTTTCAATTTTATTAATTTGTAATTTCTAATCAAATATTCGAAATTGAACAGCAGTAGTTTGCACCTGCTACATGTAAGTCCATTCTACTCATTATATAAAAATATTATTTTACTGTTTGTGAATCAGACACTTTTAATTACTTCCGCATGTTTTGTGCGATATGTTTTTCTTTATAAATTACAAATGATGCCTGAAACCATAGAGTACACAAAACGTGTACTAATTTTAAAATGTTCATTGTGCCTTAAATATTGGATATTTGGATCCCATATTTTCACAGTAAGATTATAACATCAATATTGATTGAAATGGACCAGTAGTTAATTCTATCTAATCCATATCTTTTAGTTTGAATATCATCGATGATATTTACATAGAGGTTTAGTCCCTTTTTTTAAGTCGGGTTAATTTTTTTTTAAGTGGTTTGGTTCTTCAACAGAATTTCCATAATGATGCTAGAACTGGATTGCATAAAGATCTCATATAAGATTATTGGCCTCTTATCTCTCAGGAGAAGAAATGACTAAAAATCCAACGATAATTTTAAGTGAAAAAAAAATAAAATAAATAGGCTAGGTTTACAGTACTGTCATCTGTCAAAATATGACTCATCTATCAAAGGCTATTGAAAGAACAATTTCAACAAGTATGGTGATAATTTTATCTTTGCTCGAAAAGTCACAGGTATTTTTATCACAGATATTGATTACTGTCTTATTCAAATAAGTCACAGTTTATAATTATTTTTAAAGCAATTGTCTTATCTTTGTTGGTAACGGTATATGTACCTTCCATTAGAGTGTTTTAAGTCTGCAATGAATTGTGTGTACATTATGAATAAAATCAGCTTACATTATGATTATGTAAACTGGGTTCTCAGACTATCATTTTGAAATTAATTGAAAAAGAAAAAAAAAAATCCTATATTAATCATTAATCTGTTTTCTTGTTACTTTAACATGCAATATGAACACAAAAAGTCCAATCCATTATGTAAAGAGAATATGTGGGTTGAGTTTAAAACATAATATAACCCACACAGTTTATCTAGACTTCATGACTAACAATATGCCTTGTGATATTTACAACAGTGTATGTATTGCAATTACTTTAATGTTAGAACAGAACAATGTACCTGGATGGGTGATAATTGCTGTTGTAATTACAACTCTTTGTGTTATTTCATGTACATTGTATTTGTTTTAAAAAAAAAAAAAGGGGGGGGGGTATATACAGTTATATGAGATAATTGATGTATTTTGTAAATTGATAATTATCATTTTATCAAATTCTAATACATTCCGAATGTCTGCTGTTCAGACAGTTAACGCTGGCTGTGTGGTGCCCAAGCCTTAGTACATTTATGAACA